AACATTATTGGTATCTATTTTTATTTTTGAAATTTACCGGTAGCTGCTGCATTTCCCACCCTAGGCTTATACTCGAGTCAATAACTTTTCCAGTTTTTTGTGGTAAAATTAGGTGTTTCTGCTTATATTCGGGTCGGCCTATACTCGAGTATATACGGTAGTCACAAAACATTCTGGGATAAAAGCGAAATATTTTCATCGGTGTCCCATTCTGAGTGTGAGAACCATAATTTGAGTTCCAGAAACAAAGCACCCAACCTATTCTCTAATGCTCATGGTTTTATCTGTGGCAGTGATTGGAACTGTAGTTGTTTTGTAATCAAAATCTGTCAGCACAATGAGGAATTATTTTATTGTTTTGGTGAATTTAATAATCATTATTATCTGGAATTCATGCAAAGAACAGCAGAAATTACAACAAACCACGTCACTACCTGGGGTTCGCTACAAAAGGCTAAAATGTTTGTCCTTCTGAAATTCATTGAGACGTTTATCAAAAAAAAAAGGCCAAAGTGTAAGTGTAAAGAAAAACTATACATAAAATAATAAAACAAGAAGCAATTGAGTAGCAATGATAATAATTAAGAGACAGTAAATGTTGAGATATCATCAAAAGGTTTTACCAGTAATACTTTAGTTTAAAACATCATATTTCTTCTATGGAATATTTACATACTGCACTTAAAGGACTTCACTAAGTACAGTTAAAGTGTACTTTAATATTTTCGCATCCTGACTGCTCTTTTCAGTGCCTCAAATTTCCCAGCCAGCATGCCATTGATAACAATTCTGGGAATTGAAGTCCACACAGACCGAGAATTTCCCAAAACTGGTTGCTTAAATGAAAAGGCCAATGTAGGCTATTTTGACTCTCTTCAGATTTACTGATCATCGGGGCACTCTGATCATGAATATATTTAGATATTTGCAAGACACAGAGAACCTCAGTGCCAAAGCTAAGCACTGAGAATTATCAGCCAATTAGCGCTTGTCTACTGGTCTGTGACCAAGAACCTTATCTCACATTCTTAGGTCCATATCGTACCTCACTGGTAAACTTCTTTTTCTTTCTTTCTTTCTTTCTTTTTTCTGCTGCTGCTGTCCTTGCCATGGATCAGTGGGTTCCTCAGTTCCCTTTCAACTTCTAATGCTGGAGTGTTGGCAGTTCTGCATTTGGTTTCCTTTAGCTTATAATGCCACTATGCTAATTAAGAGAGATAGCCAGAGCTGGGAGGTAGGACCCACCATAACTCTCTTCCTTTGTGAACGTAGAACATACTTTTAGCATGTCAGTTATTAACAAGTCAGTCGTTTCTGAAACGACATTCTTGAAATGGATTTCCTCATCAATACTCAAAAGTACGGGAGAAGGGGATGTACAGTTTAAACTACTTGAAAGTTCACTATGTGAGCAGTGAGTACTATATGAGCAAACTCTTTGCAAGTTAATTAATATGTCCAATGAGGATGCTTCACCATGCATGAGTCTGAGGTCTGTGCCTTTTTGTACAAGATACCTGGCCATTATTCATTCCATGTTAGGCAGATGCTCTGATTCAGTTACCTTCTTTGAATGTCAGAAGATTGTATGAACTGGTGCTGTATTGCTCCACGCAAGCTGATATATACTGAACATGGAATCTATATCCCTTCCCAGTACCCACTGATCTTTTTCTAACTTCCAGCAATTTTTATTTTTCATAAATAAATGAAATCATTCCAATGATTCTGTGAAGAATCATTGGAAAGTACAAAAGCAAAGCCTGGCGAAAACTAGGAAATTAAGTAGAATTTCCAAAAATTCAGATTTGGGGCTTTAAAATTTTCTACCTCTCCTTATAAATAGACAAAATCATTAATTTTTTCATGTTTGTGTGTGTGTGTGTGTGTGTGTGTGTGCATGCGTGCGTGCGTGCACCATGCAGTAATTTCTGGTTGCTACTTCAAGGTTGCTCAGGAATTTGATGTTAATTCAGCTACTAATATTGCTGACTATCTCAAGTTCAGAGGTCTCTTGTGCCTGCAGCACGGGATTTTGTATTCCAATCCCCTCCAAACAGCAATGATAAGAAACCTGTAATTGTTCTCTATAACCCTTCCATAATCTGATGGCTCCCAAATATGTTTGAATTATATCTTCTAGATTACAGAAGACTGTGTTAAAGGAGTTCAAGAATTATCAAATGCGTCTGAGCTGAACCATTGCTGACTCCACAGTCTACTGTATTTCAGAAAGGATGGACAAGCTCTTGGGAAGGATGTGGTTCCAGCTGCTTCTGTTCTCCCTGCTTTTTATCTTAGGCCAAGGGAAAAAAAGTAAGTTCAAAAAGTACAGTCTTGATTATGATTCTTCCCAATCCAGGCTGTTTGCAATTTTGGAAACATGCCTTTGCAGGCATCATAAAATCAATCATACTCCTAAATGGCACTCCTTATATACTCTCAAAATTAAAAAGAAGTAAAACATTAGCATTTAAGATTAAATGTTACAAAGTAAAAAGGACTAAGACCTCATATATACAATTGTATGAAATGTCAGTGAATTCTATGAATTTCACATCTGGAAATTCAACGACGACAATCACTAATATACAATTTTATGTGATTGTGCCCACTTTCTAAAAAATGGGAACAATAGCAAATCTTTGCAACATTGATGCTGTAAATTTGAAAGGAAATTATGGCATGACCACATTTTAGAACTAGCCTATTTCTAGACAATTATGTTCTAACTTGTTTGTTTTTTGTTTGTTTGTTTCTAGTTAACCACTGTGTGGCTTCTAGGGCAAAAAGCTGCATGGAATGCATCCGAGTGAGCAGCAACTGTACTTTTTGCACAGATGAGGTAAACATTTTTCACAGTTATTACTGAGGATAGGATGGTGTGATCTCAGACACTGAGATTTGGCCATGATCCCTGTCCATTCAACCCTTCGATATTTTATTATTTAATTCCCTCCACCTTCAATCTGACAACATGAATTTCATGAGTTGCTTCTCAGTTTTAAGAACCAACAAAAATTTCTAAGCATACTTTACTGTTTGATTATTCTCATTCCAGAACTTCAAAGGCACCCGTTGTGATTTGGAAAGAAATCTAAGGAGCTATGGCTGCCAAAACAACATAAAACTGAAGTCTGGAGAGTTATTAATAACAAAGGTAAGTAGAGGTACAGTGAAAGAATAATGGATATGAACATAACAAAATCAATATATACCTGAATAATCTCCCAGAACAACCCAATGCAAAATTTGTCAATAAAAAAAATTAACTCTAGCTATTCTCAATGAAATACTTCCTAGTCAGTCAGAAAGTTTTGTTCATTTAGTGCATGGGTGTCAAACTTGCCACGTCACATTACCTCACGATGTTTTCCCCATTTGCAGAGCTGGGGTGGGCGTGGCCTGCATATGACACATCCGACCAACGGGCCATCAGTTTGACAACCGCAATTTAGTGCAACCATTTGCAGGTAGTCCTTGACTTACAACCACAAAAATTTCTTTTGCTAAGCAAGGCTGTTGTTAAATAGGTTTTGCTCCATCTTCTTTGCCAAATTTGTTAAGCGAATCACCACAGTTGTTAAGTGAATCATGTGATTGCAAAGCAAACCTGGTTTCTCTCATTGATTTTACTTGTTGGAAATCTGCTGGAAAAGTTATAAATTGTGATCACATGATCCTAGGACATTGCAACTGTCATACGTACACACCAGTTCCCAAGCACCCAAATTTTGATTATGTGACCATGGGGGATACTGCAACGTACATGAGCATGAAAAGCAGCCATAAGTCACTTTTTTCAGTGCCATTGAAACTTCAAACAGTCAGTAAACAAACGGCTGTTAGCCAAGGACTACCTGTATAACCATACATTCAGTACGTTCAGTCAATTTGTTATGATAGTTGTCTCCAAGTCTTTTCAGGATCCTCCATTATTTATAATCGATGTCTTTCCTGGCAGGATTTCAAAATTGATACCTCTCTGAGAAAAAAACAAGTATCTCCTCAGCACATATCACTCAAACTGAGACCGGACGAGGAAGTAAACTTTGACATGCATGTGTTTGAGCCCAATAAACCTCCTGTGGACCTCTACATCCTTATGGATTTTTCATATTCCATGTCTGATGACTTGGACAACCTGAAACAAATGGGCCAGAACCTTGGTGAGAGATTAAATCATCTCATTTTGAAAGTAGTGAGACATTTGTCAGTCAGTTAATTATCTGCAATTTTTCAAGGAAGCTGGCATAGGAAGGGATACAAAATCTAAGACCAGCAGGTCGATTATATATGTGGTAGTTAACAGCTGGCTTTTTGTCTTGCAAACTTGATCTATTCCAGCTTCAGCATGGAATGTGCAACTAAGGAATCTATTCCCATTTTAATTGCTTCACCTGATTCTCCTTGGTTGCTTTTCATCATGGAGGTCCTCACATTCTATGCCTAGCTAGCAGGGATGGGTTCCGGCTGCTGCCACTGCTGGTTCGCTCAGGAACACGCCAACCCCACGTGCATGCTTGATATGCGCTATGCACACATGTGCAGTGCCAAAAAAATGATTCTGCACATGCATAAAAGGAAAAAACAAGATGGTGGTGCCTACGGCGCAGCTGATAGAACTGGTTCAGAGGCATGGCAGGCTGAATTACTTCCTACTCAGCCAAACCAGTCCGAATAGTAGGAACCCACCTCTGCTAGCTAGATAATGGCTGCTAGGCAACTCTAGAGGAGAGGACAGGGTGGGAAGGCAGAGTTAAATGCATCATCAATTTAGAGTTTTTGTGTTCCTATAAGTGCTCAAAGTTCAATCCTTCCTGTATTCCATTGACCATTATCTGGCATCAATTTAGCGTTGAATTTTATGTATTCTTATGTATACGCTTGAATAAATCTTCTATGCTGCAATCTTGCAAATGGTCCTGATTCTGCGCTCCTGACAGCGACCAAGCTAATTTGAAACAGCATGCAAGGTTAAAGCTAGTTAGCATTTGGATGAGTAATCATTAGGAAATAATGTAGCTACTACCAAGGAAACCAATAAAACATCCAAAAAGAAAGCTATAAGAAATGCTTCTATGTTGTTGCCAAATAACTACACGGGCTTATCCACGGTCATTAATAGTCGAATCCAGCTCCAAGTGTTATTTGTGTTCCTATGCACATATGTGTATACATCATCAGAACCAGGTTGATGCATATGAAAAAACATGTTCTTGCTTTTGTTTATGTGATAGCAGCAAAGCACAAAACCGGAACTTACTCCTGATTTAGAGAACCTAAAATTAAGATAAAGCAGAGGGGGGAGGGGGGAGAAAACCATAGAATGGAATGGAGTGATTAAAGTGAATAAATAGTTTATACATAGGCTTAACTTTTTAGTAGGTTAAGGACAAATGTATTAAGTCCAACATTTTATAGGCGTAAGAAACTTTAAAAAATAAATACACTTGATAGTTGTTTTCTATTACAAAAATGAGTGCATTTAGGATATCCTACGATAATTAGGAAATATTGAGAGATTCACACGGCTAATCTACAATTAAATTCACAAAGAATGGTGAAAACTTGGTAATTCATGTTCATGTTCTAACCAAGGATAATTAAGGATAATCTAAGAATAATTAAGGTAGCATCTGAGGATTTGGGGTGTTCCAAGCAGTGTATTTTGTTTTTGTAAAATTAAAGTGTTCGAGTCTGATAAATTCAAAATTTCCAAATATTGAGAAACTTTTAGGTATTATTCCAAGAGCTCAAATCACAATTACGGTACAGTAGCAACAAATTTATTTCTCCCTACGCATTCTTATATCTATAAACCCTAGTATTTTTCCAATATTGCCTTTTCCCAATCCTAGCACTACCTGGTAAAGCAATATCAATGAACAAGACTTTCTTATTCTTATTCAAGTCATTGACTGCCTGGGCTAGTCCCTTTAGTTTTCTTGGCAATATTTTTTTAAGTAGTTTGCTATGGCTTGCTTCCTAGAACTGAAAAGAATGACTAGCCAAAGTTACCCAGATGGCTTTGTGCTTAAAATGGGATTAGAAGTGATGATCTTGCAGTTTCTAGCCTGGTGCTTTAACTACTATACCAAACTGACCATAATACTAATAAATAATTCAAAAAACAAGAATGTATAATCAAATTGCATTAAGGTTCCCTTGTAATACACTTTGGTTTTCTCTACATGATCATAACATCTCTCGGGGTTGCTGTACATTTTAATTGATTTGAGGAGTGAATGATTTCACTTCATCCAACATATTATTCATAGTCCATCATGGGATTATAAAATTTAATCTAAAGTCACCAAATATTTTCATCCTTCCTTTCTTCTATCCTGCTAGCAAATTTCTTGAGGAATCTGACGGATGATTATACCATTGGTTTTGGTAAATTTGTGGACAAAGTTACAGCACCACAGACAGACATGAGGCCCATGAGGTGAGTAGTAGTGATTAATCCATTAGGGTCACTTGGAAATGAACTATTCAGAATCTATAGCATTTTTTAAAATAAGGCTTTTATCTAATCTGTGATCATCTAGTCCCATATTTCTTCCTCAGACCATGCTTCTTTACTTTCTTGCAAAATTCTATGCAAAATTTTGTAGATATCAACTGTTGATAGATCTGCTCTCAGTCAGAATTCCTTTCTTTTTAATTCTGCTATCAATTTGTCAGTTGAATCCATTTCTTTCTGAGGATTTAGGATCAGTTTTTAATCCCCCAATAAACCTTTTCTTTTATATCCTTTTAAAGAAGCATATAAAAGTCTCTGTGAAAATAGCTTCATTAAAGCTACCCTAAAATTATGCTTCTAAAAATTTCACAAAGGGGCATATAACAGTATTTTAACTGCCCCATGAATAGGCAGTTTGAGTAATTTGGCTCAGTCTTGTCCGAGCAAGTCCTGAGAACTACTTGAATAGAAGATGACTCATCCATTTGTAGAAAGGGACTCTTGTTTGGGGATATTGTATGGAATTGTTTCTAGCAATTGGGAAAGGAACAGGAATGTTAATGTTTAGATTCCTCCATCTTAGCCTATGTGCGCATGTGTGCATGCGGATGTGTATATTTGTGTATTATGTTATAACCTTATAATATAAAAATGTGTTCTGTATTATCATGTGTATCAAACAAAAATAACAGGAACAAATGGAACCATTCTGAGAAACTGAACCCAGTGTATGGATTGGTGCACCAATGTCTCACTACTCAGAAGTAGGATGCAAACACAAGAAGTAGTAATGTTAAGCCTTATTGTCCCCTACTGCTATAAAATGTTTGCTTCTCACAACTTATTCTCATAACTCATTGGTGCTTTGGGCAGGTTTCTATATTGTGTTAAACCTTATAGCCTAATTTAGAAATAGCAATGGCTAGCTTGTACATTGTCCTCCGGATAACAAAGCTGAATTTGTTTTAGTGTGAGATTTAAATGCAGTCTCTTTTTACTGTTTAAATAGAAACTGTTCTGCTCAGATTCATTGCATTAAATATTGTGGTAAACAATAAGCTGTTTTGCAAAAGATCCTTGTTTAAGAGTTCTGATCATCAGGCTGGCAGAAGTTACCAATTAAAATTGTCTGTCCCTTTGCTTTCAGATTGCGGGAACCTTGGTTTAACGCTGATCCACCTTTCTCTTTTAAGAATGTCATCCGTCTAACCAATGATATTAATAAATTCAGCCAGGAATTGATGAAGGAACGTATATCAGGGAACTTGGATGCTCCTGAAGGTGGCTTTGATGCTATATTGCAAACAGCTGTTTGCAAGGTAAACAGGGAGGAGTATACTGAAGATGGCATAGATATAGTGGTTCTCTATAAAGGACGAAAAAGGGACGTGGTGGCTGAGTGGCTAAGATGTTCAACTTGTTGATCAGGAAGGTCGGCAGTTCAGTGGTTTGAATCCCTAGTGCTGTGTAATGGAGTGAGCTCCTGTTACTTGTCCCAGCGTCTACCAACCTAGCAGTCTGAAAGCACGTAAAAACACAAATAGGAACCACCTTTGGTGGGAAGGTAACAGCGTTCTGTGAGCCTTTGGAGTTTAGTCATGCCAACCACATGACCAAGGAGACACCTTTGGACAGCGCTGGCTCTTGGGTTTGAAACGGAGATGAGCACCGCCCCCTAGAGTCAGGAATGACTAGCACATAAGTGCGAGCAGGACCTTTACCATTACCTTATAAAGAATAAAAACTAGCTGCATACCAAACTGGGAGAGCAGTAGAAAAATCTAGGCCAAATTTTTGCTTTGAAAAGCCACAACCGACTTTGTTTGCAGTTTGATAAGAAAATGGGTGAGCTTTGGAGTTAGATATTGTGGAAACTGTTTATTTTATTTACTTATTTTCCACATTTTTGAACAATCCATCTCCCTCAGGGATCGTTGCTGTTATCAAGTTTTGCTATTATCAGCTCCTATCTGGAGTTGGGATATTATAGTCTGAATACCATCTAAACATCTTATGAAGGTCAGGGGGAAAACAAACTACCTAGTGCCTAATAACATTTGTAAATTTAGGGAGCTGAAGAGTTCATTGCTGAGGAGACAAGATAAACATGGAATTCCCAGATCTATGACATTGTTAGTTTTCTCAATTAACCTTGATATGAGCTCCATTTGAAAGACATACCCAGTGGTTACTAACAATCCTGGAATAGCTGTTTATAGCATATTTCTCAAAAGTTATTATGAACAGCCTTTCTCGGCTTCTGGCAGCTATTCCCACGCTCTAATTATGTGATTCTTCCTGGCACATGGAAAAAGCAGACTTCAATTTTTATCTTTTTTTAATGGGGATGATACGAATATATAAAACGTGGATGTTTTGGTATTTTGGCGGTGGCGGAGTGGTTAGAGTGCAGTACTGCAGGCTACTTCTGCTGACTGCCGGCTGCCTTCAGTTTGGCAGATCAAATCTCACCAGGCTCAAGCTTGACTCAGCTTTCCATCCTTCCGAGGTCAGTAAAATGAGGACCCAGATTGTTGGGG